GTATAAGAAATGCTAATATAAACATTCAGTGAAATTTTCATGTATCTACAGTTATTCGTTTTTGAATTACAACAAAATAAGGAAATCGAGTGAATATCCAATGTTGTAAAAATTTGAATTTCAAACGCTCATAAATATTTAATTTGACTTTTTTATAGACATTTTTTTTTTGATAAAGGTAGATAATCTTATAAGGATCTTGTATCACATTTTAAAATCTTAGATTTAAAAAGAAAAATTTTTACGAATTCTTAACTCAAAATAATTTGCTAATTTTCGTCATTTTTCCATATTTTGTCAATTTTTGAACTTTAAATGCTTATAAAAAAAAACTGTGACTAAGGATTTTTAATATTTTTCATCTGCTTTGAAACAATATACTAGGAGCCTTCTATTAAATTTTCAAGCTTTTGCAACCAACAAATAAAATTTTATTGATATTTTTAGAAAAAAAACTAAAAAAAGATGGAAAATGAAAATGTCCCTAAACAGTTCAAAATAAATCAAAATATTTTGAAAATATTATCGTGTATATAAAATGCAAATATAAACAACCGGTGAAAATTTCATGTATATACGTTCATTTCTTTAAAAGGTACACCAAAAACCAAAATCGATTTTTTGGAAAACCGATTTTGCGTAAAAATACCAGTTTTTCCTTAATTTTTATGTTGTTTTTCCCGGCGCTTGTGAAAACTACTGTGAAATTTTACCAACGTACCAACTAGATTCACTTTCCTATCAGAAAAGCTACTGTTTAAGAAAATCCAAGCACTTTTACTACAAAAAAAATAAAAAATAAATAAAAAAATAAAAAAAAAACACACATCATTGTAAAATCAATACATTCATCGTTTCACTCAGGATCTAAAATACTTTCCAATTACCACTAATATTATATTTAATTTATTTAAATATAAAACTATTATATTATTAAATATATTACTTAATTATAATTTAAATACATAGATTAACCAAAAATATATTATCAAAGAATATTTATGCTTGTGAAAACAGTACAGAATTACAGGTTACAGAAACATGCTATGGTGTATCGAACAAGGTGATCTGCAGTTATGTCCCAAATGATTTAAGACTTATAAAACATATATCACAATTTTAAGTATACCAGTGGTCGGGAGTAGCACGCTACTTTAGCTGTATCGATTAACATAGCGTCGCTGCAATCAGTGGCGTAGACAAGGGGGGGACGTGGGGGTCAGATCCCCCCCCATTAGATTTATTTTTTGTTTTTGCATACAATATGTAGTATGCACTATTAAAAAAAAAATATAATGTAATATTTTGTTATATTATGATCTTTCGAGCTATTGAATTTTGAAAGTTTTTTCAAAATACTGAATACAATTATTATTTTATTTTCGTTTATTTATAGCAAAGTAAATAGTGAGATTTGTTTGGTCGAAATGGTCGATGACGATTATAAAATGTGTTTAAAATATTGTCGGATATTATCGGATATTATCGTTATTAACTATTAAGTTATGAGAAATTATTATCGCTGCATTATCGGCGTCTACGGGTCTACGGGTTTAGTTTACTGCGTATACATACAACTAATTTATCTGAAATCTAAAAAAAGAAACACTCACGGGATTATTGTCAATTTATCGCATCTATCGGTTATGGAGAAACGTAGTTCATAATTGTACCCGCATTTACAAAATCGGCAGTGCTGTACTGCTGTCAGACATCTGTGCAACTGCAACGTTATTTCGTATATCGAGTATAAAACTGTATAAAAGTAGAAAACACTGTTATAAGTTATAACTTATAATATTAGTTATTACTATTATATATTATTTTATATTACAATTACTCAAATTTTGAAATATGAATAATAAAAGAAAAAATAATAGTCTACTTTCATATTTCAATAAAAGTACGAAGTCAGTTGTTAATTCAGATCCGGATGAACCACAACCTGCACCAAGTCAACCAAAAGATACAGAAAATGTAGATTTGGTGAGTAAAAATAGCATATTTGACTATCTGATTTATCTAAGTCTTTTAGTTTCTGCTTTATGGGTTTCTATAAACAATACTATGTCATCATTTTTTTTTAAGATGGAATGTTCTATTGCAAGGAAAGATGATATTGGTTTGTTTGTTAATTGTGATTTAAGTGATACTGACAAAAACCTAGTAAGTTATTTAATTAAATACAAATAGCATTGTACTATAATATTATATAATATGAAAATGAATCATTTTTTTAAATCAACAAAATAAAAAGTACATTTATTTATAGATTCTGACAGATGTGTGGGTTCCATCAGAAACGTATATATTTCCTATATTAGAGAAAAATAAGGGTAGGAATCTCAAATTTCAACACCATTGGTTGAAAATGTTCAAGTGGTTAGCATATTCAGAGACTAGACAAGGAGGTTTTTGTAAAGTATGTTTGGTATTTTCAAGAACTGGTGGAATTGGATGTCAAAAATTACATACGCTTGTGATTAAACCAATGGATAGCTTTAAAAAAGCATTAGAAGTATGTCTATAAAGTTATGTTTATAGAAATATTTCTATTACAGAAGAAGAAGTTTTAGATGAACTAGCAAAAAAAAAGAGAAAACTAGATTTGTTAATTTAATTATTATTTATTTTATTTATACATTTAATGATGTAGCATTTTGTAATATAGAAGTTTTGACTTAATGGAATATGGAGTATTGGAGTGGATAATCTTCCATATTGTATTTAATGTGAATTTTGAATCAATTCAAATTATATTCATTGTTCCTTATTGTTAAATATTTAACTAGGTACCTTAGAAAAAAGTTTTGAGAGGGTGGGGGATTTTCCAATTTTCACCTCCATTTAGCTGCTTGTTTTTTTTTTTTGATCCCCCCCCTTTCAGAAATCATGTCTACGCCACTGGCTGCAATACAAATATACAATGTAGCGAAATACTATAGCGCGCTAAAAATGTATGGTTAGCGTAGCGAATTTGTTCATTATTTTATCGCTACTTCTAATCTATTTCATGATAATTAAAATATTATGATGTATGTATATTTATTTAATTAAGACGACTAGATGAGTGTATTTTTGAATTTTTCGGGTTTAACCCGTACCTCACTAATCAGTAATCATAGATTATAGATAAGGCTATAATCACAAGAGAATTACTACAATGTTATATTTTATATTATTGAATACAGAACCATAAATAATAATTAATATATTAGTATTTTATTATTACTATTTTTATTTTCGGCATTCGGAGTTTTCTGTGTTTATTTTAAGTTTAAATTTTATATGTGAAAAAACAGTATTTTAGATTCTATATATCATTGACTTCAGATTTAACACTACCATTACAATGGCCTACACAACGACAAGGTACACTTGACACTTAGGTACATTATACAGCGGAGCGTAAGATGTTCTAGATCCATGCTTGCCATCAACTTTTTAAAACAATTTTTAGCAAATCAAAATTCTTTGTAATCACTAATCCCCTTGCTGTATGAAATCCTTTCTCCCAGTGACCGAATGTCTAATCAGTACAAACTACTAATTAGCAATTTTCAATAAAACGGTTTATCTGTTTTGAGTTTTGTTACAAAAATACATGAGATACATTGAATAAACCTGCCTTCCGAAATTACAATAAAATAGTGGTAATAATGACCAAGTACTCAAGTGAATATCTAAATAAATCAAAAAAAATTTTAAAAAAATGTAGCAAAAAAGTAGAGCGCTACATTTAAACAATAGCGTTAGAAATAGAGGACTACATTTATAAAAAAGTAGCTTTAGCATTAGCGAGCTATTTGGGGGGGGGGGGGGGGTAGCAGTAGCGTTAGAGTGCTACAAAAAAACAGTAGCGTCCCGACCACTGAAGTATATTATACCCTATCTTTCTACCTCACTCATTCCTAGAAGATTAAAAATAAAATGGACAAGAGACCTGCTCAATGCTAAAAAACAAAAACAAAGTTGCTCTGCTGTACAGTAGCCAGTAGGTTACAAGGGGGTCACTATATAATGGATGGTATTAATTTTGAATTCAATGATATATCATTGTATAAGAAAAACGATTCTGAGAGGAGACGGTATGTCAGTCTAGGTATAAGACATGTTAATATGTTATATACGTATCTATGGTATTAAAAAAAATTGTACCTATAATAGATTCCAAATTAATCATGTCACAATAGCCATTAGGTACATCAACAACAAACCGTGATACTATAATAGATAATTAGATAAATATATAATAATATACTTAAGAAGTTTCAATTACCCAAGAATAATATTATACAATCACAACAAAATAACTAAAATAGTTATTCTAGGTTTTTAATAATGTAATTTCGTCCAAATTTGAACTTAAAATGACTATAAAAATAAACCGTGCATATGTATTTTTTAGATTTTTTGGTAACAGAATAAACTACTTAAACACAAAAAAATTGGGCCCATGCATTTTTAATATTTTTCAACTGCTATTGTAACAATATATCAGCGCCCTGGAGCCTTGTATTAAATATTTACACTTTTTCGCCTTAGACACCTCTCGGCCACTCCGTCCCCTGAATGTTATATTATAATATAGGTACTAAAAGTTGTAACATACCTATATTATGATATTGTAATAATTACATAATAATATTATGTGTAACATGTATGCACTCATTTTTCGGAACATTTTTTATTAGGAATATAATTAATTACGTAATAATATTTGCACTAGTAAATATGAAGATGGGTATTTTGTGTATAATTATAATTATTTTTTTAATGAGTTGATGCAACTCGATCCATTTTTTAGTTACTTTATCTAGACGAACAATCTAATTATACACAAAGTAGGGACTGCTACTATTCTATACAGTATAAATACCTAAAACATAGTTCCAATAATCATCATTGTTTTTTTTTTGTGTAAACATATATTTTTCAAACATCACGTTTGTAAAAGTGTATAAATAATAAATATACCTACAGGATAGAACACATTCAAAATGGCTACAAAGGTAAGATTATATTGTGTACTTATTATTTACTAATTTTTGTTGAATTCATTAAGCTTGAACAAACGTATGATTTAGGTATAAAAATTAATATGTAGTAGAAAAAAAGTTTGCCTTTACGAATATTATATTTTATTATCTCACGGTAATACTAAATACACCATTCACGCGTACCTACCTAGGTACCTATTATGATAATATATTGTGAGATTGATAAAAACGTAACGTTGAACATTCCAGTTGATAATGTTTGCCGCTTTGTTCGGGCACTTGGCCTTTGCTTATCCACCCATTGAGTACAAAAGCTACGACGCCGACCATCACTACGACCACGCTGCACCCAAGCCATATCATTTCGAGTACGGTGTGAAAGATCTTCACACGCACGACATCAAGAGCCAGCACGAGTTGAGCGACGGTCACGGTAACGTCAAAGGATCGTACCGTCTCGTGGAACCCGACGGTTCCACCCGCGTGGTCGAGTACACCGCTGACCACGAACACGGTTTCAACGCTGTTGTCAAGAAGATCGACGCACCCCATTACCAAGGCGACTACTCTGCACAAACAGCTGACTACCATCAGCAACATCACGAGTTACTTCATCCGTACGATCATTCGACGTACGACAAGTTTTACTGAAATTAAAAAAAAAAAAAAGGACTCCGATTATACAGAGGGAAATGTTTACCAAACAGACAATAGCTATAGTCATTCTATGGACTAATTGCTATAGGTATGCATGTCGTGTACATTTATTTTATTGAATAAAATATTCGCCATTGTTGTAATATAAAAAACGATATGATGTATTTTATTATTACACTTCAATACTGCATGCTGATACCTACACCATATTATGCACATGAATGTCCTATTTGGATATCGAATTGATAGATATATGATTTGACCGTTTGCAGAGTACCTATATTTAACTGAAAAGAGTCAACCTGCAACATTATAGTATTGCTCATTTCGTATAGTTCGATTAGGTAGTCGAGGGAAGTGATTACTAATTTATTAAAACAAATGTTTTTACCAAAGTAAGAATAGGTACACTTGGGATTTGGAAAAAAAAATACGTTACTGCGCAACTGATAACGTTCTTTGAGTGTTAGGAATCATCCGGGTTTTAACTTTAATTACAATAAGCAGAGGTATTTTCTTATTTTTACGTTAAAAGTTATTACTACATTATGCTTAACAAGAATAATATAACTCGGTTAAATGTTATATGTACCTACCTATATATATAGCCTATATGGCTATATAATATATATCCGCTATCATATACAGGGTGTCCCGTGAGGATTTACTCATTAGTCGTAGAGGGGGACTCGCCGCCCGGACAAAAACCAGTTTATTGACGTTTTACTAATAAACTAAAAAAATTATTAAAAATCATGAGATTAATGAAAATAAAATGTTAAAAGCTCAAAATGTTCACAAAAATATACTCTATAGAATGGCTATCTTCAATTTTTTCAAAAATAAAAAAATAATTTTTTTAACTTTTTTACTAAAAAATTTAATTTAATTAAAAAATAAAATATTTGTAGTGCTTACCTCTGCGAGTCTTAATAAAAAAACATAATTACGATATCTCCATTATTTCAGGAGATATCGCAATGAGTAAATCCTCACGGGACACCCTGTATATATCGTTTGTAATTTCTACGCTAAACGCCTAAACCTAAATATTATATACGATAAAATTGAACGAAGTAAGTCAGTAAGTCAACTATACATGTGTTGTTACTATATTTTTGTACAGCTATAATGCGCATTGGCCCAAATAGGTGGTGGCTTGGGGGGACTTCGTCCCCCATATTTCTGCCAAGTCCCTCCTGTTCAAAAGTCAGTAATCAGTACTGAGCATATTATATAATATTTAGAAAATATTATAGGAGAGGCTTTAGTCCCCCCCCCAAAGTAATTTGTCTATTTGCGCCTATGGTTATGTGTGTAATGTGTATGCCTCATGTACCTAGGTATAAGTTTGACGCGGTTAGTCCTGCACGTGGATCCTCGATAGTATGGGGCCCGTACTACGTAGGGGACACAATATGAATGAATAAGATATTATAAATTAAATACTAAGTCTTACTGTTTAACGGTTAGGTATATATAGACAAGAGAGAATCAGTTATATTTATTAAGTACTAGATGACACGGCAATGCTTTGCTATTGCTATTTTGTGATTATTCAACTCCTTTTGGGTGTAACACGCTGTGGAAGCAATGCCTTTTTAAGTGTAAATTATATTATATTTTAATTTATAGCCATCCCGACTGGCGTTGTCTGGGAGATTCACTTGTGATTATTCGAGCAGTATATTATCAGGCAGGACCCCACGTGGTGCATACGTAGGTAACTGTATAATTTAAATCTAAAGTATCAAAAAATACAAAAATTGTTCCACCGAAACCGTGGTTAAAACTTGATACATTCTGTACTAAAATACATAGTGTAGTGATCCCTCACTAACGCTTATATTTTTGAGTTCAAAGACGTTGACGGTTGAATAGGAGAAAAGGTTGCAGAGTGACTAGTTACACAAGTTAGGTATAAGTAATTTTATTAACGTTTAAAAAGTAATTAATCACAATTAAGTGTAAATAAATTTGAGGACAGAGCGAAAAGCATCTGCCAGAGAAGTTAGTTACGTACAGTATGTACATTGTACGTAGTGCAAACTCAAAACTAATTCTAATTTTGCTATAGACATCATCTTATATTTATATGAAATCTATGCGGATAGAAACGTACACGGTAGAGCCTAGGAGATGGATATTTGAAAGGAGCAGGAGCTATATGTTATTATTGCCAAAAGACCCGAACTATTAACAATTTAATAGTTTTGTTTTCGCATTATTTTGGCCATGCGAAGATCGAGTGAATTATAGGTTTGTTTTCGCATTATTTTGGTAAAGCGAAGATCCGTAAATTAATCGTTAGATTAATTTTTTAATTGCGCTGCCAAACTCAAGGTATTAAAAAAGATTAATAGTCTTGTTGTTGTCCAGCGTGCTACATAGTGAGAAATGTACTTATAATATTTAATTAATAGGAAAACGACTCCATCGATTTACTACATTCCTCCCCTCGAAGATGGAAGTCCCCGACTTCCTTTAATTCAAGAATGTACAAAGTTGTGGATAGCCGGTAGTGCTGTTTCTTGGTGCGAGTGGAAATTCGACTATGTCGACGCTTCTTAGCGGCGTTCCTTGGTTCGCACCATGTTCTTCCGTTTCTTCTTGTGACTCCGTTACCTTTGTGTAGTCTGCTTTTGATTTAATCACATTTATAATAAAAAATGCTTACTGCCATAAAAATTACACTTGTTATGACATAAAGTATGTAATTGTTTAGTTCCTGTGTGTTTTTTAGTTCGTCGATTTTGTGGTCGACTTTGCGTTGTTTCTCTAATTGTTTTTTCGAACCTGACACTGTATTTAGGTCCTCCATAGTCCATGTTGTTTGTTTTGACATGGTAGTCTTCCATCAAGTTGTTGTTATCGGTGTATGGCATATTTTTGACTTGTTCCAAGGATGATTTTGGATTGAAATCCATGTATTCTGCTTTGTAATCGACTTTCCCTGGTAGGAGTAAATCTCTGGTGGCGTACCCTTTGCAAGTTTCATTTAGTCGTAAAATGCCTACTCCTTTAAGTGTATGACTGGTGGATTCTTTGTCTTCGTCACAGGTTATGAATACTATGTCTAAATTAGTAACGTATATCCATCCATTTTTGAAACGTTTCTTGTGAAAAATGGATGTACCCATTTGTACGTGCATGATTTCGCAACTTGTTGGAACTTTTATTGGATCCTGTAGTAATTGTACTTTGCATGCTGGTCTACTGGTACCTGGATGTAAAGGATTACCTTCAGGACACAAAAGGAAGTCTCTAGCGTGTTTACAATGAGTGTAAAAAAATTCGTCATAAATGGCACAGTGCTCTTTAGTTTTACTTATAGCTAGATACTTATTACTAGGTTTTATATAAAAACAATCGTTTCCAGTACACACTGGTACGGGTATTAAATTATACAAGATAAAATCGTTTTGGTAAATTAAAGGTAAAGCGAGTATAAACACTAAGTTGTCATTAGCATAATATATAGTAAGGTCTGAAAGTTTTATCAATTCATAAACGTTTTGTAGGTCTAAGTCAGTAGGTAAATCAGTGCCCCCAGGTAATGACACTTTAATGTCTTTGACGTGTTCTAAAAGCTCGCGTGGTGATATTAAACTTGTGTGAATAATTCCCATTTTTGCTTGTTGTATTATTTCTACTAAAGTGTTGGTTTTTACCATATGTTTTGTTATTAGTAAATTTATAATCACAAAATGTTTCAATAAATAATTTTTTACTTGTTGTTCCTAGACACGTTACTAGATTCGTTTGCTACAAAAGTTATATTATAACTTTCGTGCTCATCAAATTTGTTCTGTAATTTAACTATCTTTATTTGTTCTTTAACTAATTTTGTTTGTGGTGCGTCAATGTCTGTAAAAATTAACTGTTTTTTACGATGAATGTAATGATTTTACAATGATGAGTGTTTTTTTTAATTTTTAAACTTTTTTTTAAAATTTTGTCTGTGTACACTATAAGTAGTCGAAATAATACTTCGATTTCCAACTTCAATATCTTGTTCGATTGGAAAGTGAATATCGTTGGTGCATTGGGAAGGTCAAAATTTAAAAATCATAGTAATTTTCAAAAGCGCCAAGAAAAACAAAAGAAAATCAAGGAAAAACGGGAATTTTTACCCAAAATCGATTTTGGTTTTTGGTGTAACTTTAAAACAAATTACCGTAGATACATGAAATTTTCACTAGTTGCTTATATTCGCATTTTCTATACACGATATTACGATAACATATTCAAAATAATTTGATTTATTTTGAACTGTTTAGGGACATTTTCATTTTCCATTTTTTTTTAGTTTTTTTTTTCTAAATATATCAATAAATTTTTATTTGTTGGTTAAAAAAGCTTGAAAATTTAATAGAAGGCTTCTAGTATATTGTTTCAAAGGCAAATGAAAAATATTAAAAATCCTTAGTCACAGTTTTTTTTTTATAAGCATTTTTGTACAAAAATTGACAAAATATGGAAAAATCATGAAAATTAGTAAATTATTTTGAGTTAAGAATTAGTAAAAATTTTACTTTTTAAATCTAAGATTTTAAAATTGAATACAAGATCCCTTATAAGATTGTCTACCTTTATCAAAAAAAAAAAAAAAAAATGACTTAAGAAAGTCAAATTAAATTTTCATGAGCATTTGAAATTCAAATTTTTACAACATTGGATATTCACTCGATTTCTCATATAGCGATTTCCTTTTTTTGTTGTAATTCAAAAACGAATAACTGTAGATACATGAAAATTTCACTGAATGTTTATATTAGCATTTCTTATACACCAAACAATTTTGAAAATATTTTGACTCTTTTTGAGCTGTTTACGGACATTTTTAGTTTTCAATTTTTTTAGTTTTTATTTCTATAAATATCAATAAAGTTTTATCTGTTGGGCCAAAAAGTGTAAAAATGTAATACGAGGCTCCTGATATATTGTTACAATATCAGTTGAAAAATATTAAAAATACATAGACACAATATTTT